CCTCTTTTTTTTGTGCGCGGCCCCTTCTCATCCGGCCTTGGGCTGGCTGCAGCTTCCGGATCTTTTGCGGCTCCGTTGGCGTCGCCCTCGGGGTTCCCGTCCCCGCGCGCCGGCGTCGCCGCTCGGAGCAGCCGGCCCCGGGGCTCTTGCAAACCCATAATCTGCGTCGTCACCCTTGAAACACGCAAAAACAGACCATTTCCCCCAAACCCTGCACCGTTCCCAGCGCTCCTGTCAACACAAGCAACACGAGCGCTGCCGGAGCGTGGCCACGACAGCCCCCGCGCCACCAGCTCTAGGACAGGGCAAGGCCCGGCCGGAGCTCGCAGAGGGTTAGGTGACACTCTGGGCACAGCCGGATCCCCCTCCCAGACCTCTTTAGTCCCCCCTTATCCCGCTCAGTCCCACGGGATACGCCGGTGGCTCCCAAGCAAGTGCTTTCCTCAGTAAGTATAATCCTCTTCTTTACCTTTAACTGTTGCAAAGCGAAAATAAAGTTTGATAACGGTTAGAACTGGAGCAAAACCTGACTGAAGAGCTGCATCTCTAAACCAGTTTTTTTGACAGCCCAGCAGAACAGTGCCAATACATTGCACAGACAACTGGAAGAGGAGGAAGGTTTTGGAACAGAGTCCGGTTTACAGGTCCCTGGCTGGAAGAGGCTGGATAAAATACTGCATTGTAAGCAATATAACAAACTGTACTCCTTCTTGCAGGCGATCGTGCCCAGGGCACCGTTATTGATTGATTTTCTTTTATTTATTTGGTTACCACCTCGTTTTGTTGGCTGATGGACAGAAATGCACTGAGTTGCCTCTTGGCCTAAAGCGCATGAGCTGCCGCGGCAGCTTCCCGGGTGGAAGCGGTGGGAGAACGTGCAGAGCCCAGCGCGGCCGGGAGGGTCCCAGCTGGCAGGCCAGAAGCCAGGGCCACTTTGGGGGCTCCCCCCTCTAACGTTTTCCGGAAAAATTGGCCGCAAATGCGTTGAAATTGTAGGGATCCGGTCCCACTATCGAGGAGGTGTCGAGGAAGACTCTGTCTGCAGTTGTCAGCCGTTTTTCTGTGCTCACAAACGACTTTTATTTTCCTTTTTGTTTTGCAATCTCTCCTGTTTGCAGTTTTGGCCATCCGCTCTGCTAGCGCCCATCTCCACCCCCATCACTAAGTCGCGCCCATAACATTTCATCCCACCTCCCCACCCCGAAGCGAATGCAAGACCCGCTGGGCCCAGACTGCTCTTGCATTTGGGTCTGCGCTCGATTTTCGTCATCCAGTTTTGATTTTTTTACAAACCTCTGCGGTCTTTTTGGTGTTATTTTTTGGTGCCGCGGGGAGGGGGAAGAGGGGAGGAGGAAGGCAGCGGGATAACGTCCTTTGCCCCCCTCGCTCCGTGGCGCGGTCCCGGCCGGCACCGGCGCAGGGAGGGTTTCCCGGCCCGGAGGCGATCCCGGCAGCGCTCCGCGCGTGCCAGCGGCCTCCGTGCTCTTCCTCCGGGAAGGGCCGTTGGCAATCGCGCGGTCCAGGCTTTCCCCTTCTTTCCTGGACAGCTGCCTTTGCAGTCCAACCGGCTCCATGGATTTTTCCCAGCTAGTCTCCCAGTGCCGATTCTCTTTGATATCAGGAATTTCTCAGGTCCCGGCCGAGCTGGGAGAAAGCAAAGCAGAACCCGAGCTGCGCAGTGAGCCCCCCGGCTGGGGGCAGCAGGTTCCTGGTTAAAACCAGCGGTTTTAACGCACCCATCGCAGGAGATGCACCCAAAGCCACCACCGCGGCGCGGGGCCCCGAGGGGCTCCCGGAGAAATGGATATTTCGGCTCCCGGCAGGAGCGCGGAGGGGGCGGAAAGGCTGGAGGTTTCGCGCAGAAGTTTCTCCTTTCTCTCCACTCCCTGCACCCCAAAGAAAATCCAAAGTGTCCGCTTGGAATCCGAGCCAGCAGTGACTACAGTTTGTTCTGTTGCTTACAGCCACTAATAGGAATAAATCCTGTTGACCTGGATGATTGAAAACCAAGCCAAAAGTTCAATAGCCAACGGTGACCGGTGCAAAATAGGTTAGGGAATTTTCCACTAACGTTGAGGCTTTGTTTTTTCAATATATATATTTTGATTATTTTTTTCTTGTAGCATCACTTTTTTTCCCCATAGAATACACTTTAAGATGGAGATTTCCAACTTGTTTTCAACACAGTGAGAATTAGCCTTTTCTGTGAAGCAGCGCTAAGATAGATACTTTGGCCCTCAAATAGATCAGCCCAAGGGTTTTTTGCAGCTCGTTTAGGGCTTTCAGCAAACGTTTGGGGTTGATGATGTTTTCCTCTCCATTGGGGGGTTGCGTGGAGCCCCCCGGGAAAGACTTTGGCAGCCCTGGCAGGGGAGGCATCGCCCGTGAGGCGCCAACACGGGGCAGCATTGGGGAAATTAAACTGATTTTAGGAAGGAAAGGTCTTGAGATGCAGTTTAGACTCCCGGAGGTTTCTGTTTCTCATCACAGTAGGGTCTGATCAGCCACCGGCCTCTTCCCCCCTGAGGGTTGGGGAAGAGAAAGCTGAAAATCCTCCAATTCTTCTGTCTTGCGGCTGCTCCTGGAGGTTTTGGGGTGTCAGTGCTGTGACTCGATGCTGCCCTGAGGCTGCTCTTACCTGCCAGGCAAGGGAGGATGTTTCCTAGGGCTGGAAAATCTGTCTCCTGCAAATCAGTGCAGGTTCTTCCATAGGAGCAATGTGTGTTGGAGCGTTTTCCTTTTCCTGAAGGTTTTTACGAGTTTCCATCCGGGCGCCGGGATGAGAAGCAGGGAGATGGGATACGGGAGCGCTGCGGGAGGCTCCGCTGGTAGCAAACGGCTCTTGGAAACCCCAGACGTAGCCAGTGAAAATAGTTATTACGGAGAGAATCACCTGGATCAGGGAACGTTTATGCTTTGCTCCTGTTCGGTGGCGTTAAAGCAGCCGGGCAGGAGGGCTGCAAGTGAACCTGCCGCTACTGCCCTGCTGGGAAAGGTCCTTGTTGGGAAAATGGATAAGCTTGACCTGCCCCTCGCTGGGTTTGGTGCTGGCGCGGGGCCGCGGGCGCCAACCGGGCATCTGCCGCCCCTTTGGAAGTGCTTGGGAAGCTGCTCTTGCCCCCGGGCTCCCTGGAGCAAGGCCGAGGGCGGCTCCAATCCCTTGGGATTGGGTGCGATGCCCGTTTCCCGCTCGCTATGCGCTGGGAGTCTTTGGAGCACGACTCGCACTCGCTTAGGCTTCGAGCAGGGGTTGGAAAGTCGGGATTGGATTCAAAGCCGGCAGGATGGTGCTGTGCAAGGAGAGGCGCGTTCTGGAGAGCCGCTCCTGCTCCCTCCGGTGCTCCCAGGGGATGGAGGAGCCCGGTGGGAACGGCTCAGGGCTGCAGGTGAGTCCAGCAGTGGGCACGGATGCCCCAGGAGCACAAAAAGAGGCTTCAAAAGCGGAACGGGGCATTTGGGGGCCACGCAGCGGCACGGGGAGCGTCCTGCTGATGTTCCTCGAGTCCCTGCGTATTCTGGGAGACCCCGAGGCAGTTCAGACCTTCCATAGCCTGGTGCTGAGGCACCTCCTGGATACACTCGGTGGGAACAGTGTTTTCATGTAAAAACATGACCCTCCTGGCAACCCGTTCCAGCTCAAGGGACGCTTTGGAGCGGTGATTCCATGTGCTTTTTCTTGCTTTTTTTTTGTCTCTTTCCATGAACGATTAGGTTATTCCCTAATGTTCCTGCCTGTGGCTGGTAGAGCTTTGGAGCCCTCGGCACACGTACGAGCGAGCCGGGTCCGGCCGGGAGCTGTTGCTCCCATCCCATCTGGAAAGAAGTAGCTCAGCACCTGGAACGTGTCCTGGTGACCAGCCTGCCATCAGTGGAAGGGCCTGTCCAGCCTCTCCTTTGCTTTTTGGGGAAGTTTTTGGCATCCATAGCGAGTTGCTTCCTGGGCACCTTACCGGAAGGTTGGGAACAGAGATGAAGGAAGTCGAAAATCAGTTAAAATGTCCCAGAGATTTATCGGGAGATTGGCGGTCTCCTTGATGATGGATTTTCCTGGTGACAAACGTGGTCCCTCCCATCTGGCCTTCAACCCCCCTTGGCCATGAGGTCACCTGGGGAGAGAGCTAAGTTGGATATGATGGTATTTAATAACAGGATATTAAGTTATATATTAAAAAAGGGGCTCAATATCAGCAGCAGGGAGGTTGCTGCTGGATTTCTGTAGTATTTGTGCTCGTTGTGGTGACCAACCAAGCCCTTTCCAAGAAGGGGTTTGATGGCTTGAGGAGCAGGGTGACGGGACAGCGCTCGGTGGCACAGGATGATCCAGGGGCGGATGGCGACGTGGAGCCCGGGACTCAGTTGTTAGACTCTGATTTCCGAAGGGATTTGAGGAAGGATCGGGATAGCCAGGGTTTTCCAACCAAAGCCATGTTGGGGACATGGGGACCTTCATTCTGGCCTTGCTCTGGTGCCGAATGCAAATCCCGCGGGTTTTGGCAGTTTATGGCTGACATCGAGGCAAAACCTCCCGGGTTTTGATCCTTTGTGTCCCCACATAGGACGGCGGGCTGGAAAACGCTCCCCGCGCGCGTCCGCTTGAGCTCGCGGGGCGGCTCCGTGGGCAGGCGCAGCGGGAAGAGCAGATCGCTCGGAGCGTGTCCGTGGGAC